GTCTTCCTAGTAATATCTGCTATACTATTGCCTTTACACAAAGGTATTCCTTTGTGCTATAGAATATTACAATTGAAACAGAGTATATACTAACTATAAAATAATTTCACAAACTTTTAAAGGGCACAGTAAATCAACTAACTACATATTTCATATAGTAACATTCAGATGAGAATTAGTTACCTAAATTAAAAACCTAGCCAGCTTTCTAGTACTATGTAAAGAACTTCTGCCAATATAATTTAATCTTTTGAACAATCATTCTGGGCATGAATATTATTATTTTCATCCTAAAAATTAAAAAAATAAATAATCAAATAATATTTGATATAAGAACAAAGTCTGTGGGAATATAATAATAATTTGTCTCAAATATTTCTTGAAGTGTGATTTATGAATTACTTGCATCAGAATCACTTTGTTAAAGATTTCTGACCCAGGGGCACCTTGGTGGCTCAGTGGGTTAAAGCCTCTGCCTTCGGCTCAGGTCATGATCCCAGTGTCCTGGGATCGAGCCCCGCATCGGGCTCTCTGCTCAGCAGGGAGCCTGCTTCCTCCTCTCTCTCTGCCTGTTTCTGTGTGATCTCCATCTGTCAAATAAATAAATAAAATCTTAAAAAAAAAAAAAAGAAAAGAAAAGAAAGATTTCTTTTTTTTTTTTTTAAGATTTTATTTATTTGACAGAGAGAGAGAGAGATCACAAGTAGGTGGAGAGGCAGGCAGAGAGAGAGAGAGAGGAGGAAGCAGGCTCCCCACTGAGCAGAGAGCCCGATACGGGGCTTGATCCCAGGACCCTGGGATCACGACCTGAGCTGAAGGCAGAGGCTTTAACCCACTGAGCCACCCAGGTGCCCCAAAAGAAAGATTTCTGACCCAGACTTCAAACTGTTTAATGAAAATCTCTGGTATATGGGACTCGAGAATTTCAGTTTTAGCAACTTTTTTCAGTTTGATAATCATACTTCTGTAGAACATAAATGAAATATCATAAAATATATTTAAGACTTTTATACATATAACTATAATGTAAGTAGAAGAAGAAAACTAGGGAAAAAATGCAGCAGTAAATAATCATTCTTTTTAAGGTCAGTAGCCTTAGAGAGAAGGGAAGAAGTCAAAATTAGTGTGAAATCTATAAAGCTTTACCAGGCAGCTACTGACTTCAAGAAACTGCGAGGAGCCATCAAAAAAGAATGGAATCTTGCCATTTGGAACAACATTGAGGGTATAAAGCTAAGTGAAATAAGTCAATCAGAGAAAGGCAGATACCATATGATCTCACTCATGTGTGTAATTTAAGAAACAAAACAGATGAGCAAGGAGAAAAGAGAGAGATACACACAAACCAAGAAACAGACTCTTAACTATAGAGAATGAACTGATGACTACCAGAGAGGAGGTGCGTGGGAGGATGGGAGAAATAGAGGGTGGGCATTTAACAGTAGATTTATCACGATGGGGAGAAAAAAAAGATAACAACAACAACAAAACCCTGCCCAGAACAATATATTTATATGATGATGTAAAAAAAGGATGAAAGATAGCTTAAATAAATAAGTCTCTCTCTACCTCTTTCTCTCTCTCTGTATCCACGTTCCAACAATACTTAGTTAAAATTCACCAAAGTGTTTAAAAAGTTAAATAATTCAGACGGTCATAGAGATAAACATATAAGAAAACAGGGAATTTTGTTGTCTTAAGGTTAAGGATAGTGAAAAATAGCCTATAGAATAAGTGTAAAAGGAATGACATAGAGGTGTTCTGGTAAGAAATAAAAAATGGGGGGGGTGCTGGTTAACTCAGTCAGTTAAGCATCCAACTTTTGGTTTCTACTCAGGCAATGATATCATGGCTCATGAGATAGAGCCTCGAGCTGGGTTCTGCACTCAGCAAGAGTCTGCTTGGACATTCTCTCCCTCTGCCCCAACGGCTGTCTGAGGATGACTGGCAGGGAGCATTGGATTGCAACAGTACAGATTAAAAATGACCAGGGCATGGACTATGGATTTTGCTTGAGGAATAATGAAAAAGAGACAGATGCCAGAGATACTATAGTCAGCATGATAATGCAAATGATTCAGTGAGGAACTGGACAGGAAATTTTGATGATCTTCAGACATTCTTATTGCTAAATGCTCTGCCATTAATGGCTTTGATCACTGTAGTTGACTCAGGGTATGAAGATTTATGAATTTCTATAAAGATGGTAAAAATACCTGGTCTTAAATCAACCACTGGAAGAAGAACTCACGGAGCAGCAAATGCCTTAAGTAGTCATTTTGTAAGGTAGGCAACAAGAATAATGATTTCTATTTGATTTAATATCTCAAAAGAGATTATTTTTAAAAACTGTAACAAATGTGGAACAGTGGAATATATTTTATCTTTGGCCATAAAATAATTGTTTTATACGGAGTATAGGGAAAATTGCAAGGTGATCATCAGCTGATTAAGATGTATAACTATTAAAAATAATTATTTTTCCCACACAGTCTTTGAGAGTTATTTCCAGTATGTAATAAGTAAAATATTCCCTGAAGATTAGGAATTTAAATGTGGTTCCACAGTTTAAAAGAGAAGGGCTTTATTACCATGAGCAAGTGATTTCTTTTATCCATCATAAATACTAGGTTCCAAGCTATGGATAAAATAGAAAATCAGTACTGTTAACAAATACCACCTGTCCTACCTAAATAATTCCAGAGTTTGGAATTAAGAATCACATTATCCTTATCTGCTTTGTTTAAAAATCTCTCTTTATTCTTCTGGAGTTCTAAAGCCATATTTTTCATAACTTCCTGAAGTACTTAAAATACATGATGTTCATGTCAGAACACAATCTGGTCAATTAGCATTTAATCCTCCCATCTCTGAGCAATTTTATTTTTGGACTTCTCAGCATCTCAGTGTAATGATGAGCCCTGAGGTTCTTACCTCTAGTAATAACATCACAAAATGTATCTCAGGTCATTCCTCTTAACATGAGCCCTGATTTAGGTGTTTTTTTTGTTTGTTTGGTTTGGTTTGGTTATCAAGGGAGGTAATGTAAAGAACCACTTTTTATACTTTAATCAGTAATGCAATATGCCTACACAAAAATAACCTTGTATACATAAGCACTATAATAAAATTATTTAAAAGTCAGTATTGTTTTTCCCCCATTGGAATATATAAAATATCCTTAGGAAGTTTTGATAAATGTAAAGCTACATAAAACAAAAAGAATTTTGCAATGATCAGAATTCACTCCAATGACATATATACACAATTATCCTAAATACTTTATTTGGAATTATTGGTGAATTGTGTCAAGAATTAGAAACTGTAAAGAATTGGAACAATTTTCTAGATCATTCATCTGCAAAACCGCAACTGAAGAAAAAAAATTATTTTTTTAAAAATCAATGATTTAAAAAAAAAAAAAATCAATGATTTTATCCATTGTCCCATTTATTATAATTATGTGAAAATGTGCTCATTCCATTACTTCATTTCAGGAATGTAGACAGAGTTATTGACCTGGCCTTAAAATTTATTTATCTACTTTAGTGATTTATTGCATTATGGTATATAGTAAATGTGAATAGGAAGTATGTATGTAAGTTTTTTATAAAGAATCTAAACAAAAAGGTAAGATGATGCATAAATGTTGAACTAATAATATATTAATTTTCATTTAAACCATAATTCATACTCATATTTTTATAATATCATTATTAATCAAATAGCTCTATTCTTGAATTATAACATTATTGTAAATTATGCTGACATTAATATATGCTTTAATGAAACAAATTTTTGTTTCACGATTTGAGTTCTTCAGTCATGATGATTTTTATGAGATTTTGCCCATGTTTTAGGACAGACAATACCGTTCTCACGGATATCCCAAATAATTCACATGCCATCATTGAACCTAGTTCCAACAACAGCTTCAGCTATCTGAATTGGCTATGACAGAATTGGCAGAAACCTTGAAATCGCAGTTATTTAGTTTGGCCACCATGCCCAGAGAGATCTACTTGGAATGGTCTGGAAGCTGTTCTTTCATTGTGTGCAACTATTCTTAATATGGTGGCATTTGACAGTCATTTGAAATAAGAACTGAAGCCAATTAAATGGTCTCTCTGTGGATTTCCTCTGACAGATGCACAGAGGCATCTTGTTTTAGCCAATGGGCATTATTTAAACATAGCTAAAACCATCCCAGCATTTATTTTGATGCATCCAGCTAATTATATGGCTGTGATTTATGTTTGAGTAAAGGATTTTAATCAGATCTCTTATTTCCATCCTCTGCTAGACTTTTCATCATAGTGTCATGGTACCTATATGGGGAAGACAACCTCTCCCACTAAAAACTTGGGCACATTGTCTTGATTCTATAGGAATAGAAGTCTGATTTCAAATGGAAATGGACTGCATTTCCTTATCTGTATTTAGAAGACTAAAAATTCTGCAGCTTGAACTGAGACAGATGACCATTTGCTGTTTGATGGTTAATTACACTTTGGACATAGAGCAAGAAGGGAAAAAAAAAATCCCGGAAACTTAATAAAGATGTATTTGCTCAACAGGCAAAGTCAGTTTTTATCATGGCTACTTATAATTTTCAGTACTTCTTAAATTAATCCCCAGTTCTTAATTAAGTTTTCAGGTTTGCTATAAAATCAGCTAAATTTAAGATTTAACATAGGATAAGGAAAATTACTATTAATCTAAATTTTGAAAAAGTATTTCAACAAGTGAAGTCCAGTTGAAGTTACCCTCAGCATACTGGCAATACGCAGGACATTAGCAAAACTAATATTTACAAATCTACCTAATATTTATGAATCTGTGGCTGCTTCTCCATTTCATCTGGTTGAAGTTACTACTTAGCAGATTTGTGAGTTTTGTTATGAACTAATTCTTCTTCTTCTGCTTCTTCTTCTTCTTCTTCTTCTTCTGCTTCTTCTTCTTCTTTTTCTTCTTCTTCTTCTTTTTTTAAATTTTTCTAGATGCTCCACCAACTGGTCAGGCACACAGTGTGAGAGACCAGCCCCAAAGAGCAGCAAGTCTGATCATATTAACACAAGTAAGTTCTTCAGGTTAACACCTTAGGTGCTCTGTATGGTACAGAAATCATTTTTCATGCCATTACTGGGGGACTTGAGTCTTGGAAAATGTCCTTCATGGAATTTTTCAGGAAATGCATTGCAATCCATGTCGTTTTGGAAAAGATAGGGCACTGAGTTCACCTGGTGACAAGATCCAGCATTCACGTGCTAATTTAGGCAGCAAGAGTTCAAACTCTGGCAGTTTTCAGACTGCACATCTGCAAATCTAGCATAATCTTTTCTGGGGAAATGTACATCAGCTACAAAGGCTTCATATACCACAATGGATATGAGAATGCTCCAGGAAAAAAAGTAATTTCATATTTTAATTAGAGAAAAGTGTATTTTCTTGAATTGAATTTCAGTATGTTGTAAAGCAGACTTTACTGGTTAGTCTTAAAGAAAAGTATATTAACAAGCAAATCTTAATCAGGATCATGGTTGATTTATTGTTTCTTTGTCTTCAAAATATTTGTTTTGAAGTGTATTAAAATATTAAAACATTTTGAAGTGTATTAAAATATTAAAACATTTTGCAAATCTTTCTTTGTGCAGCTGTAGTCTTAGGACAGATCATTGATATGAAAGTCCATCTACATCATCATTGTGTGTCTATGTGTATATTTTTAACAATTCTAAACGATTTTATAAAGATTGTCAAAATGAGGGGTGCCTGGGTGGCTCAGTCAGTTAAAGATTTTCAAAATGAAAGTCAAAAATAGTTTTCCAATTCTTACATATTATCAATTATTTTATTATGAGTGGAGAACTTTTGAAATATGTAATGTCTATCAAGTGGCTAAAAATATTCTTAAAGAAGAAAAATATCACTGATGGATAAATGTTTACCTTAGGAATTTTTCTCTAGTCCATTACTGCTGGTGAAAAAAGCTTTCATGAAAATAATAAAAAACATACTACAGAGTTTGTGAAAAAGGAAAGGCACTATTGAAGTCAAAAGTATGCAGTTTTTGTACCTTACATGCAGGATCCCAGTATTTGCTGATCTACTTCTTTTTTGTTCCTTGCCCCATCACTGCTTAAGATCTTTCAAGCAACACTGCCCAAAGTCCCACCATTTAGAGATTAATTTGGGCTAATAAGCATGAGCATTTTAGAAAAATGGCCAATAGGTCTCGAGTAAATAGCCTAGACATGAAATTTGAATTTGCAGAAATGAGTAATCTTTGATCATAGAGTGTTTGGGGTTTACCCTGGAATTTATATGCTGTCTTTAGGGAAGGAGAGGGGAAAAGAAGGCCTTCGGAAAGCTATGGGCACATTATTGTAGGAATAGAGCACTGGGATTTGAGAAATTGGTTCATAAAAACTAGTAGAGGAGGCAAAATATACCTTGGTTAATTTGATATTGCAAAAAGAAAGAAAAAGAAAAAAGTTCCTTTTCTCTCTTCCCAGGATCTAGGGCTCATATCTAGGTTATCAGTTATTGTTCTGGAGACACACTAATTTACATATGATTTTGTGAACCAGCTACAAAGCTCGACAATTACCAATAGTATTGTTTTTAAATGAAAAATGCATTTCAAGTTACCAACCTGTAGAACACCCTGAACTTATAAGTTGAGAATTAAGGAGACAATTTACATTAGCCTTTTATTTTGGTGATTTCTCAGTTATCTAAGATAAATAAGAAATACAGCCTTTGAAAGAGTCAAAAACAATTATAAGTATTGATAAACTGTAAAAAAAGTATATAAAGTACCACATTAATTGAATTTTCACATTTTACATTAAGTTCCTCCCACAAGGGAGAGTTTGGTGTTTGGAAATGGTTTGGAGGAGAGGAACAAGAGATGTTTTTATTGGAGGGTGGTGTCTTCAGTTATTTGCAGGGGCAAAAACTCCCTTATAAGGCAAATGGCTCTAATTCCATACAGCAGTTATAAAATAGGGACTATCAAACAGAAAGAGTGGCAAGTATTTGCAACCCCTTTTCCAAAGATTCTGATGTCCTTCCTTCCATCACTGATTTAAAGTCATTAAATTTAATGGAAGTATCAATGCACATTGAAAGGGCTATTAGCTATGTAAATGTCAAATTTCTTAAATTTGAGCAAAGTTGACCACATAATGACACTATTAAAAGGCACTTATCATCAGACATTTATGCTTAGAGAAACTTGCCTCAATAACTCTGGAAGAAGGAAAAAAGGTAGTTAAACTGATCCTACCTAAGGTAAAGCCCAGTAGTTTTGAATGGTTGTCAAATGTTCCCCAAACCTGGAGAAAAGTCATCTGCCCAGTAAGAAAGATAGATTTTTAGCAGTGTGTTTCAGATCTGCATTTCCACTAACAGTGAAGCATTCCATAATGATCGGACCTTGGGGTAATAAAGAATACACTGTTTCTGTTGGCCTGACTACTGTCAGCTAGCATAGAGATTTGCCTTTCTAATTGATGCACAGCTTTCTTAATCATTTCCGAGTAGGCATGCTGATGTTTTCTGGCTGTTGCTGTTTAAAGTTTCAAAAAACTCAGCCAGTGGAATTAAACAGATATATTATCCTAGCATGTTCTGCTGAGGTTCCACTTAAAAAAAAGCTAGTCTGACTCTTCTGAAGTTATTTTAAAGATTTTTAAATTAAATATGATAAAATATTCCTTGGGTACTTCTATTTAAATTTTACCTAAAGTTTTAAGGGAGTGAATGCTCAATGTTTGAATTATGCTGTTCATATTTGATAAAGTTAAAGAGGGTAAGAATATACTCAGCATTTGAGAGGCAGTAATATTGAGATGCTTTATTTTAGTACAGTGACAACAGAGATGTGATATCTGTTAGGCAGTTGTGTTTCCTCCTTTCCTATTTTGCCCTTATCTCTTTTATGCCATCTTGTTTTAAAATAGAAAAAAAAAAAAAACTATGTGACACCAAGGAACCAAAAATTTGCAAATACAGAGAAATAACTGAAACATGTAACAAAATAAAGCCTTTGGCCTAATTCTCCCAAAGCAAATATTTATCAAGCCTCAACTAAGTGTGCTACTGAATGAGATCCCAGAGACAAGTCAGTGAGACAGACAGTGCCTCTTCTTTGAAGCTGAGGTTCTAGAAGGGTATACCGCAATAAAGCAAGGAAGCAACCAAATGAGTAAACATGCAAACTTATGAAATAAGAGTAAGTTTTTATTGGTTTTGTGAAGGAGGCAAAAAAAGGAAGCAAAAATGTAAAATGGCAAGTGAGAACTAAGGTCAGGAATGATTTCTCTGAGGTGATGACACAGAAGCTGAGATTTGAAGGATTAGAAAGAGAAGACACTGAGGGTATTTCAAACACAAGGGACAGCAGGCACAAAAGCCCTGGAACAGGAAATAGAACTTCTCAAAGTTTTGAAAGACCAGTGTGCTGGGATCAAGGGGACAGGAGGGAGAGTGGTACAAAGTGAGGATATTTTCTTTATGACCTTTAAAATTACAGTTCATCACAATGCTTAAGAGAAAACACCCTAATCACAAAACATATCTACATTCACATATATGCCTATATGTGAACATGAATTTAAGAGCAGAATATATAGCAATATATCAAAAGAGGTTAATTGTAATTAACAATTAAACATTAAATATAAACAATAACATAAAACAATAACATTAAATATGTCATTGTAATGGCATGTTTAATATTTATATTTTCCACTATAAATTCAACCAGTAAACAAAAGGTTCTCTTCCTGACTTCCATGACACTGAATTATTCTGGTTCCCTTCTTACCTCTCAAAGCAACTCTCTTCTTTGTGAGATAAGTTCTCCCTGTCTCTTCTGGACAACTCATTCTCTCCACTCACACTATACACACTGTTCTCAGTGGACCACAATTCTTAACCTTACTTACCGACTATATGTTGATTACCCCTACATTTCTATTCTCAGGCCTGGTTTGTCTCCTAGTTTGAGCCATAGATCCCACTGCACCATTGCTATATCCATATCTATATCCATGGCAAGGTCTATATCATCTGTATTCCATTGGACATTCAAATTCAACATGTCCCAAAATGATCTCACCACCTTCCCCTACTCAAGCACAGTGCTATGGCAATATATATGTTTAAGTATTTAATAAATATGTATGTTGCATTTTCTACATGATAGACAATCTTATTTACATTACTATGAGGTCATATTAATGATGACTCTCATTTTATGGATGTGTGAATTGAGCCAAAGGTAACTAATTTGCCCAAGGATATGTTGCTAGTGAGCTGAGGTTTGGACAAAGATAGCCTGGCTCCACAGTCCAATATCTCAACTGGCGAACTATACTGCCTCTCCCAGGGAAAGGGTCTCTTCAATCTAACAATCTGGTAACACAGTCCCTTCTAACAGGAAAGTGTTGTGTAACGAGGCTTCAGAACAATGTTGCAAAGAAAGACTTATATTTTACTTGACAAGGTTATTGAGATATCCTCTCCATCTGTAGTAAGTATAGAATGTGCTTTTTTAAAAATCAGTTTAAATAATCTGCCAATAACTAAGGAAAAAAAAACACCTGCAGTAAATTTTGATTGATATGTTACAATATATTTACTACTATATATTCTACTTATTTTGATAAAAGTCTTCTAATTCTTTTAAAAATATATGTTGTTACCAGTTGCTCCACTTGATAAAAATTTTTTTAAAAATCCAGTTTTAAAACCTTGCCCAGTTGCCACCCTGCATTATTTATTGGCCACACTAAGCATTATTGCGGTTACCTTAATAGGTTATATAAACATCTTAGAAGTCTAGGCTCTTAAACAAAGTGCTGCAATGTAAGGATTTGGAACTGCCATCAGAGATGGCAGAAAGAAAAAGAAAGAGATTGGTAAGTTTTTTTTAGCATGTATACATAACAGAATTTCTACGTTATATAGGAATAAAAGAAACTATATAGAACAAATAAAATCTTATTTAAAATAATATACAATTGGCAGTAAAGGGAAAGTAACCTTATATGCCCAAAGACCAGAATTAGTATTTTGTATCTACCAATTTACCACAATTTTAGGGGGGGTGGAGATAAATAATGAAGTAAGGATATTTATAAAGTCATGAGCAGTCAATTGAAGTCATAGTTTATCAAAAGACCAAGCTGTTCACTGGTATTTAAAAATTTGTGAATAAATGTTAATTACTATCCAAGGTGCCAGATCTCTGCTTTTATTAATTACTAATAAATTAAACATTCATATAAAGTTCACTTTCCCCAAACCAAGAAGGTAATATAATATAAAACTCACTAAGATGTATGGTCCTGGTAAGAACATGAAATAATAAAATGAGTTTTACATTTTAGAAACTGATTAAATTAGGCAAGTCATTTTTTTTTTTTTTTTTGCATGGAAGTGGTAGTTATTTGGTTATTTTAAACAAATGATTTTTAAAGTTCAAAATTAGAAGATTATTTTACACATGAGATTTCCTTAATAAAGACCTTTTGGTATTTTGGTAAGCAATCTCTAGGATAGACCATGTCACACAGATATCACCTGTCTAGAGCTATCAAAACTGATCTATATTACTATTTTGTAGTCCCTATGCAGCTGCTTATTGTGCTAAATATTACCATTCATTTCTACCACAGTATTTTTATATGCATGTGTATTTGTAGAGAAAAATTTATATATTTAATAACTCCCGATATTTCATTCTTGAGCCATTCAAGATCCTCACAAAAAATTTCAATTAGTTTTGAGGTTTATTTGTATTAGTTTTTAGCTGACTCAACTGAATCAACCAGATGCTTATTCTAAATAGACAAAAGCCTTTGTCTCACAGACACTAGATATTTATCTGCAGGAAAAGTTAACATTAGGTACTTGATAGAGCTACTTAATACCTCCTTGTTATTAAGCAACCCTCACATTCAATTTTCTTCCTGCTTAGTGACATAATTGTTGGTATATTTTCCAGTAGATCACATCACCAGCAAAGGGGTATTATCTCCTTCCTCTGGGGGATGGGAGTGGAGAGGGGAGAGATGGTTGCTCTTATTGTCAAGGCAGAAATGGAGTTTCTCCTCCATTTTGTTTTTCCCCTATGTTCAAATGCATAAAAACTAAGACCCAGTTACTCTGACCATTCTTGGAGATCTATTCCATAGATCTTTTATTACATTTTGAAGATTGGTGATACAACCTAAGATCACTTTTATAAATACATGGAAAAAGGTGAAAATGGACATTTACAACATAAGCCAAACCCTCAGATTTATTTTGCTGAAATTATTCTGGAAATGGAACTTAAGAAAGAGATTCCTCTTTGGCTCCCCAACCCCCATTCTGTTGAATCAAGTTAATAGCCCTGTGTAGTAGATCTCTTTGTCTCTCTTTTATTGGCGAGGAACATGAAACTTAAGTTTTAAATAACTTATCCAAGGGCTCACTCTAAGTAAGTTGTGAAACTTATCAATATTTAGGCTATGTCTATCTGAATCCAACACCGATGTCAAGCTGCCAAGCTGCCATCTGATTTGTTATATGTAATCATTGATAGAGAGTATTTATAGCTAAAGGAACAAAACTAAAAGTGGGATTGTAGTCAGTGGAACTATATAAATGTGTGTTTAGTCACCATTGATTTACAAGAAGTTACCAACATGTACTAAATTACATCATTGCAAGTAAATGTGTGTAGTGAGAATCAGACTCAGACTGACAAAGAAATCAACATTTCTAACCTCAAAGTATTTAACTGCAACATATAAATGAAAGATATCTAAAGAAATATTTCCAGCAGAACAAGTATTTAATAGGAGAGTGATTTTTCACTAACATATGTATGAACTAAGAATATAGACATTTGGCTTTGGCTTTACTTTTCATTACATCCGTGGTCAAAAGATTTGGTATAATAAAGTATTCAGTTATATCACTCTTTAATTCATTCTATTTATGTGTTCACCTATTCATTAATTTCTTTTTCAGGAAGCATTGCCATCATTGTACCTCTAGTTCTCCTGGTGACTTTGATAACCACCTTAGTAATTGGTTTAGTGCTTTGTAAAAGAAAAAGAAGGTAAGATTCAATGGTTTAAACAAAAGGTCAGTAAATAAATTAAACATAGAGTTACAGAAATGTAGTGTTTTTTCTTTTCTTTTTTTTATTCTTAAAAAGTGATTTAGTTATTCCAACTGAAAAGTCTTGTTTTCGAACCCCTTTATCCTTCTATTTCATTTTAAAGTGAGTATAATTCAGAATGTTCTTCTTCCTTGTTATGTTGACAGAATGGCTCTATTTATATAATCTAATAAAACTAACAAGGGGACATATTAATTAAAATTTCAACAGAATTTTACATTTTTGGCAGTTTTTCCATGAAACAGGAGGAGTCTCTGAAGCACACCCTGTTATCTTAATGTGTAAGATTAGTAATGTCAATACAATGATCCTGAATATGTATTATGTATCACAACTTGTGCATTTCATTCACAAATTCTGCATTGGTTTATTTTATATATTCCTGAGAGTATAACTTTTCAATTTATGTGAGCATATAGTTATAAACATCTAGAAGGTGTAGGTTATCTATGGAGTTATCACCCAGAACCAAGTGTTTGTGAGTCAGTTTTTTAAAAAGCATGACTTGGGGATTGAAAACAATCGATTTCAGGGTTGCCTGGGTGGCTCAGTTGGTTAAGCATCTGCCTTCAGATCATGTCATGATCCTGGGGTCTTGGGATTGAGCCCCTGCTCAGTGGGGAGCCTGTTTCTCCCTAGCCCTCTACCCCTCTTCTCCCTCTACTCCTCCCCCTGCTTGTGCTCTCTCTCTCTGTCAAATAAATAAATTTAAAAAAAAAGAAAACAATCTATTTCAAAGATTCTTTATCACTACTTTTTAGTCATAGTTTTCAGAAATAAAGGGTAAAAGTGAATTTAAAAAAATAATGAATTTGTGAATATTGTTTCAACTAATGTATTAGCTATTTAAGAGGAATATGTTCCAAGTGCATTTTTTACTGTCAAATCTAAATAATTTAGAGAAATAACTTATCACATTGACTTTTTTTGTTCTTCTATGACTTGATAAATATTTGTTTTGAATAAGTTTTATAAACTCTCTGTGAGTTATATTAAAATAAGTCTGTAAATCTACGAATGTGATAGTTTTATGTATCATGATTGTAATATTGAGATAGTTTACACTTACATTAATGTTCACATATTCTAGGACAAAAACTATTAGAAGACAACCTATTATCAATGGAGGAATCAATGTAGAAATTGGGAATCCATCTTATAACATGTATGAGGTGGATCATGATCACAACGATGGAGGTCTTCTAGATCCTGGTTTTATAGTAGATGCAACAAAGGTAATATGTTTTAAGATGGCAGACAGTAAGCATTAACATTTCTCTGTCATTTATCTATAATGCAGTCCTGAATTTTATCAGCACTTCTTTTATCTGAAGTTACAGTAAAGAACTTTAGGATGTATTGAATGTTATAGTCTTTTTTAAAAGAAAAAATTAAGTTATGGCTTGCTTTCACCTGAAGCATGAAGTTAAAAAAACATGTTTTGGAAAATAGATATGTATTCATTCATTAAGTTGATAAACATGTATAAGGAACCTATATGTATAAGGAACCTCAAATGCGTTGAGATTCTAGCATATCTAAATACCTAGTATAAAAATACTGATTTATTTTTAATAATGAAAAGAGTACAGGACTTCATTGTCAAAACAAGTATTTTATTTCCAGTAGTATTTCATTGATTCAACTAAGCTGTGCCCTTAGATTTGTTTGTAATCAAATTACTTTTGAAAAATATTTTCTACTATAATAGCCTTCCTATCGATTTCAGTCATATCGTTGATAGACACAGCCTAAAAACCTAACTCTTTTGGTAAACTTTCTATTCTTATCATTATATGCTCAGATTGGCAGCTTTTAAGAGGAATAGATAAATGATACAATTATCCAGATAAAGTAAACTCACAAAGATTCATTATACTTTATTATCTTTATATTTTCCATGAGAATAATAGACTATTTTACTGTGAATTAAGAACATCAATTTGCTATTATGGAATGATTTTTCTTAGCTTATTCATTCATTTATTGAATAGCTAATTTATTTTCTGATATATTAAATATCCTTTGTTCAAAATACACCTTTACATTGTAAATAATCACAGCAACCAATCTATGTCCAAATGGGTTTGCACTCATAGCAATAGCTGTTCCCAAAGATGTTGAATAGGGTCCCATACATTCAGGCTAGTTCTGAATCTATGGCCAGATTGTCTAAGCCTGAAATCAATGGTCAAATAGTTATTTCTCAGAAATAGAATCCATTATTAGTGCATGTATAAACTTTTTACACTATCAGAGGATATTATAGTGACTTTTTCCAAATTAGAAGTAAATTTATATTTATTTTTCATTATTAATTCATTAATTAACTCCTATATTTGAAATTGTTAATGAAATAAAACCTAAAAACCTAAGTTTCAGTGTTTTCTACTTTAAAAATGGTAGATTTTAGGTCTTAATCCACTGAGCCTGGGTGGCTCAGTGGGTTAAGCCTCTGCCTTCGGCTCAGGTCATGATCCCAGAGTCCTGGGATTGAGCCCTGCATCGGGCTCTCTGCTTGGCAGGGAATCTGCTTACTCATCTCTCTCTCTGCCTGCCTCTCTGCCTACTTGTGATCTCTGCCTGTCAGATAAATAAATAAAATCTTAAAAAAAAATGGAAGACTTTATATATGATGCACATTGTTATTTGATAATTTATCTATGAAGAAGATAAATAATAGACTTCTCGTATTTGAATTTTTCTTAGGAAGAAGTACACTGTCTGTAAGTATAATATGAACTGATGAGGACATATTTATACACTTTTCCTAAGGAGAGTTCTCATTTTCCCCATCATTTTTATTCCTAGTGATAGAATTAAGCCAATTTTGGATACTTAAGGAAAATGGTTTTTAGTACTCCATTTAAAAATTTTTCCACATTTACTCTAGGAAAATAAAACTATGCTTCAGTGCCCCTCAGATACGCTGTTAATATACTTTGCACATAACATGCAATAAATATTTATTTACCAATTTGTTGACTGATTGACCAAAATTACATTAATGTGACTTAGATGGCTGAGTCTAGCTAGCTTCTGATTTTTGAAATGTAAATATAAATTGTTGCATAAGAAGCAACTGCAAAAGACACAACTAGTCCTAATAGGTATAAAAACTTACAGAAAGCAGAGGACCACACCAAAGCAACCTTAACAATCTAATGGTTTTCATACGGTATCCACTGAGTCATGATGGTTTGATATAGTCATGATGTGATCAAATACAAACTGCATTACACATAAAGATGATTTTATAGAGCATTGTCATTATTTTCAAAATGGATAAAATTTATACTTCAATCATACCTTCTAATCAAAATAACTGAAGGAGTAAGTAAAGTTAATAAAAAAGATTTGACTATGGAGGCAATCGCAGAACAGTTTGAAGATTACAAAAAAGGAAATTAGTATTCACTGGTTTTATGTCCAAATTCATCTCAAATGTAACTTAGATTATTCTCAGTATTTTTTCAATGAAAACTTTGTGGGAGAAAATGAAGAGGCAATATTGACCAGATTTTATATTTAAAATCTTTTTCTGAGACCCTTGCCCCTATCCCAAACTTTGTGATTACTCATTAAGAGTCGATAGTTAATGTTTTTTCAATTCACCTTTAATTTTCTTCAAATTTGTACATTAATTTTTTATGCTTTTCAAATTTTTGCCTAGTTTTCCCCCCATTTGGATCATTAATAAATACTTCATCCCAAATATGAGTGTGTACCAGATTGGCTAATTCTGCCCTTAGATCCAAGAAAACTTAAAGTCAGTGTTCTTGTATAGAGACTTAGTGAACTAGTTTAATTAATAATTCATCTGGAGAGTCAGATTTCCAAAATAAAGATTTTTTTAAAATGTAACATTTTAATTCTTTTTAAATATAGAGTGGTGATGAATCTTTAATTAGAAGCAGTCATATATTTGAGTGTTCAAAATGGGCTACAGTCAGAACTTTTCAGAGGGAAAAAACCTTAAGTGGGGGAGTGTTGTATATTTTTCACAGAGTGGTTAACAAAGATATGCTTTATTTGGGAAGGATGAAGTTAAATAAATAGAAATGTATGGAGGTATCTTGATGTATGGCGTGTCTATCAGTAAGCTGTATGTAACAGAAATGTCTACTTAAAAATCACAGATCCAATATTTATGTTTTTTTCTCAATCTATTAAAGCTATGATGAATACACCGTTTGTGTCCCAGGGCTAATGAGTAATTTTATGCTATTTTTATGACTTAATATGAGTTTATGTCAATGAAAATCATTCTATGATATTAGATTGGAAACTAAAATTCTCTGTTTACATACAGGCCAGGTATATAGGGGGAGGGTCCAGTGCTTTCAAGCTTCCGCACACAGCGCCTCCCATCTACCTAAACTCTGATTTGAAAGGACCACTAACTGCTGGGGTGAGAGAATAAAATTCATTATTCCATATCCATTCCATCACAGAACCCCTCGCAATGAAAGATGATGGCTAGACTTATAGGGGCTGTCTTTAATTGAGTTTTTAATTAACAAGAGATTTCAAAACAGCATTAAAATCAGAGGCTTATGTTAGATGTCCTGCTTATGCAAGATTTCATAGAAAACATGTTATCATTTTAGACAAGCTATTAAGTAGAAATATCTCTTCTGCTGATTTTGAAAATGTCACAGCACTTTAACAATAAAAATGAGTATTTGTTATTCTTAGATATCTCTAGCCAGAAATTTAAACTGAATAATTTAAACTTAAATTCATGTTTGGCTTTATTCACTTCCTATTAAGATGTTTTGTTTAGTATTTGCAAGTTTGATGTCAATTTAAATAAAAATATACTACAAAATGTGGCATCATGTTGAGAAATTAGAAATGGCCTAATGAGACCACTTAAAAATTTTTTTTAATTAAATAACTAGTTTGTAGTGGAAGGTACTTGATTTTGAGTTGCATGGCTTATGGTAGAAGGAAGAGGGATCAAAATAGAGGTATAAAAATTCCTAGGGATGAGTATGTTCTCCCTTGTACCTCTCTCCCATCAGCTGTTTTTCATTCTCATTTTTTATCTTGGTTGTTTCATTTGCATGGCTCAAAGATTATATGTTTCTTTGTTGGAACTAAGATTTAGTGTTCTGCATTTGGGAAGACAAAACTAAACAAAAAGTAGGCAATAATTTCTTGGGCTAAGTTGCAATTAATAAAATAATAAACATTGTATGTTTTTCAACTGAAAGAGATCACTTCTGCATGTCTCAATTCTACTTCAAAGTGCTCTGAGTTTCTATGAAAATTAAGATGACAATGAACTTCACAATTCCTTGGAAGTGTCCAAAAGTACTTCCAGTAATAAATACATATGAGTTGTTTGAAGCAAAAATACTCTTTATTTTAAAGTCTATTCCACCAATATATTTTATTATTATTTTCTTTTTCTGTCCTTAACTTCCTATTGCAACAATTATAAGCTTAAGCAATTAGATGACTTTCTGTAAACACCTCCTTCCTGCCACTGCTGTAGTAGTAAGGGGGCAAACACATGGACTGAAAATAAGATGATTTGGTTTAATGTTTTATGCTTTTAAATAAAGTCTCAGTGAATATTGTCTTCACAAAGATATCCTCGAGCTTTTACTATTATGTCAAAGTTCTACTTAGATTCATAACTTACCTGAAAAACGTACAATTATGTTTTTATCTAATACCACACAAAAGTCAACTAAAGCCTGTAAACAGAATTTAAATTACATATGTATAATTACTATTTAGAAAATTAAATGTATTGCATATAAGTGTTGTTAATATTGAAAGACAGACATCCTAGAAAATAATTAAGGTGGTCAGAATTGATGATAAAAATTGAATTTATCTATTTTTTTTCTCCTGCAGACAACAAATTACTCCAATCCAGTGTATGCAAAATTATATATGGATGGGCAAAATTGTCGGAACTCCTTAGGAAGTGTTGATGAAAGGAAAGAACTGCTTCCAAAGAAAATAGAAATTGGGATAAGAGAGACAGTGGCATAATCAGTGATACCTTTTATATGCTGTAAAAATGTATAAAATATAAGGATTACTTTTGTATGTTCCAACAGTATTATACTTGTTTTGGCATCAGCATTACCTCCTTCTTTATCTTTCTCCTGGTTAATTGTTTTCTGAGTTTTCTGGGTTTTACTTTTTGCTGATGACTATTGACCATTTGTATGGTATTTTTATGAAAAAGAACTGCACTACAATACAATTTACAACAATGCTGCTGATATGATTCACCTTTGGATTTGTTAAAATTAAAAACAACATATTCCTTTGTAGTGTGAATATGAGCAATCTATTTTATATGAACTTTTTTGTTTCTACTTATTCAACGAAGAGAATCTCTGCACTTTTTCATTATATGGTCTGAAAGCTGTAATACAATGTCATTTTACTTTTCCATTTAAACTGATGGAAGAATGATTGAATGGTCAACTCTCTTCTTTGTGCCCATTAAGTTTGATTCAGACTACTGAAAATATCTAGCCCTCACAAGTCCAGCATCACCTGCTTTGAAATTAGCCTTAGATTGCCAAGCAATAGATGAAAATTTTGAGGAAAAACTTTAAAAATATATACAATAATTTGCATGAATACCTATGACTACGTTTGCCAAAATTTAATGGACTGTATGTGATATACTAAACATATACACCCTATAAACAACAGTTATATTTAGGTGGTAGAACATAGCAAAAATATAACCAGAAGTGGAAAGACCACACTTGCTATGGGATAAGACCTTTTGTTCTCCCTCGGTCCTGAGGTAAATAGCCAGCCTAGAGCACAACAGGGCAATGGGTACTCATGCCTTAGGAAGTTCTTCCTAGTCATGTGCATTTTGTGGAAGATTAACCCAATCCTTTACCACACAGAACACAGAACAATAATATATAAGCACACAAACTGATGACAGAACTTCTATTATGTGAATGCATTCTCTTTGCTAGGTCAAGAGAAAAAGGTAAAGCAGCCATTATAGTATAGAGTAGTTGGTAAATATTTTCAATATACAGTATGACTAATCCAATGTTTGCCCTATTCAAAATATATTCTTAAGGGACTTAACAGGTTATAGAAGAACAATTATTTGTCCATAGTCAAAGGTGGAGAGTGTAAATGCTGACCAGTTACTCTGGTACTCTAGTTTCTTTTGGTTATGCAAAATACATGGACCCCATTCACTTTTTTGTTTGTTTTCAAATTTTGATTGAAATAAGTACGATTTATTTAAGTTGTATAAAAAAGGATAGCATTTTTATACAGATATCTTTAAAGGCACAAAAGATTTATTCACAAGGTATGGAGGGCTTTTTGTTCCTCTGATAGACATGACTGACTTTTAGCTGTCATAATGTATTAACCTAACAGATGAAATATGTTTGTGGTTGCTCTTTATCCCTTTGTACGAGCATTAAAAAAACTGCTGTTTTATAAAGAGACTTTTTGTTGTACTATGTGCATGCATACTACCTATTTCTAAACTTTGCCATATTGAGGCCTTTATAAACTATTGATTTATGTAATACTAGTGCAATTTTGCTTGAACAATGTTATGCATATCATAAACTTTTTCAGGTTCTTGTTTAAGTACATTTTTTAAATTGAACAGTATTTTTCATTTTGGTTATAATAGTCATTTTGCCTATGTTTCTACAATGAAGTGTTAAAGACTTTATAAAAAATTGTTGACTGACTTATTTAAATGAAATTCTACATATTTAAGTGCTTGTGTTGGGTAGTTTTTAAAAGTAAGAAAATTCTTTTCTTTGTGGACTGTAATATCCATAGGAAACTATTTTAGTAAACATGAGACATAATTTTTGTTATATCCTTAGAGCATATTTTCTGGGTTGGGTTGATTTCATTACATCACTTTTAAAAGCACAATAGAGAAAGCATTTTCTCTCTTCTTGAAGCAGAAACATTTTCCTTGTTTTGTATTTTCCCCCAAGGTATATTGTTTATTACGGATTCTTATATTGCAATAGAAAGAGAGGTAGGTTATACACACAGTAGTGTGACAATTGTGTTGAAATAAGCCAAAGCTCTTCCTGCCTTTCCCGTTCTCAGAAAGTGTACTTTATGGAAAACTCAGATTCCATTAGATTGTGTAGGCATTATTTTGTAAGGGGAATGGTTATTGGTATATATCATCCTGGAGTATCATCCTGGAGAAGCAAATACAGGAAGGTCTGATTTACTGGAGCTGTCTTTGAGTTATATTATCTAAAGTGGACTTTTTATATCAAAGCTTTATAAATGTAACTGAAATTATTATTTGAAAGAAACAGAACCTAGAGATTGAGATGATCTTGATACAATTACCAGTGTTATAAATACTAACATATCATAAATGATATACAGACAACTAACACCCAGAGTCTGGCACAACAACCTGTTTTCTCACTACAGCATTGATGAAAACCATAGTTGAGAGAATTCAGGATATACTTTTTAACCCTGAGGTCCCATCTACATTATCATGGTCCTTATGTCCACATTATGCTTCACCATCCCATGCTGGTTCATTCAAGTCCACATCAGAGTTCATAGTCTTTCTTTTTGCAATTATTTTGCCTTCAATCTTTACAGGACAAAGATATTTTTTCAACTACTTAAATTTACTCTATTTATATAGCTCTAGCTCTTTCAATTCTCTGATGCAAAAACTCATATAAATGCAAGAAATTCAGGTGTATAATTTTCCTCTGTGGTTACCATTCTTTATAAATGCCATCACCAAATACTTCCTAAAACATTCCTTCAAGCTTTGATGGAACATATTTTCTAAAAATGAATGCTTCCTGGTGAATTCTCCTTCTTATCCAAAATGACTATTCATCCAAAGTATGGGGTTCCAACCTGTAGACATTTAGACCCAGTTAATTCTTTACTGTCCTCTGTAAGGAAGGATATTTAGCAGGATCTCTGCCTTCTATCCACTAAATGTTACTGACACCACCCAAAGTTGCAACAACCAAAATGTCTACAGACTTTGCCAAATTTCTTCTGAGGAAAAAATTACACTTACTAAGAAAAAAATGGTCTAGGGCTATGTTCTACCTTCCACTATTAAAAAGCTCTCGGATGAAATAGCTAAGTCAAAAAGAGGGAAAGAAGGAAGGAAAGAAGGAAGGAAGGGCACCTCAGCATGAGAATCATGGCGCTCCCTCCAAGTTTTTAAGTTTTTAATACTGATGATACATGAGTTATAGAAACTTGGTATTAGTAAAGTGCCTATACAATAAAACAACAAAACAAAACGAAAAAGGGAAAACCAACTAAGGGAGAAAGTTTCATTTAGAAACTCTCACAGTTTTGTCTAAATTTGGGCTATTTTAATTTACATACATGTGTTTTATTTGGCCATTTACTGCCATTTATGATGATGTTTTATTTTGTTTTGTATTCGATTATATGCTTATTTTGTTGGTTCTTGAGATTGAGATTTAAACTTGTACTTTTCTTGTACAAATGTTACTTTCCGTTTTTATAATGACTCAGATATGAAGAAGTTCAATACTCAATGTATGTCATATCTACTATAAATGAACTATAATATGCAAAATACCCATAATTTCCAAACCCTAACTGGGGAAATTGGTATATGTGATGAAAGGAATAGGGAAAAAAATACACTGCTTATTTTCCTTAAGCTTCTCACATGTCCATATCTTCAAACAGATAATCATGATGTGAAATCTGATTCCTCTCTAAGAACACTATTACTATTTACAGTCAAGCTTCTCATGTAGTATTACTTTAAAAATTAAAATATAAAAGATTAAGAATCCCACTGAGTTGAGCAAAATATAACTCACCACTTTTTGAAAGCTGTTTTCTTTACCTAATGTTACATTCCAGTTTCCTTCAATTTAATGAAACTTTTTCAAAATTAGATGATATCATTTGATATAAATTAGGATCATCATTTAAATAGAATTCCTTGAATTATAACTTGTAAGAAAAGGAGAGATTAAAGCAGTTCTTTGTGAAGATGACTACCAGATAATATAGCACACAAAAAAATGATTTTTCCATATATTTTGAATGTGAGAAAGGCAACAAAAAGAGTGAGAAAATGGTATTTTTTGGTTCTGCTACCAATTCCATTGCTAATATACCCAGAAAGTTAACACATCAAGAAAAAGATACAGGTAATTAACAATATACAGAAAGAGTTTTATTTAGAACAACATTTAGTTTTTGATGATGTAATATCCACAGGTCCAGGAACATGTACTTCATAATGTGTTATTCATGTATCTAGTTTAAAAAAAAAATGAAGTGAAATGAGATCTTTGGTTTAACTTTTCTGTAGTAGTTATACCTAAATGACTATAACTTATTCTGAAAAATAGTTTCTAGTGAATGCTATCATTTTTTTGTATCCAAAGTGATCAAAAATCAAAAGAAAAATTGGTACTAAAGATGGCCTATTTGATAAATTCTACGTCTAGAATGTGTTTATTCTCTCTGATGGATAGTCTGCCCCTTTAACTGGGGTTTGTGAGATAACAGTGAACTGAAGCAATGCAGTACTGAAGCTTTACTCATTTGTTCACTCCAAGATAATTTTGTAGCTGTAGTTTCTTCTGAAGTTTTAATACATAAAATATGAAGTCCTGATGCAATTGATTTCTAGCTATTTATGCCATAGTAACTTGGGAAACCAATAATAAAACTCATAAACTTTCAAAAGATAAGGTCCATAACAAAAATCATACACATCTTATTCAGGTCAGTAATTTAACTATAAATGAGAAAATATTTTTTTCACATACAGAATAAACTGTGAAATATGATTGAGAAAAAAAAATCAGGAGTTTGAAATATGAGGCTGTTTGTGGAGATACTTAAAAAACAATACACAGGGCGCCTGGGTGGCTCAGTGGGTTAAAGCCTCTGCCTTTGGCTCAGGTCATGATCTCAGGGTCCTGGGATCAAGCCCTGCATCGGGCTCTCTGCTCAGCAGGGAGCCTACTTCC